ATTTTAAATGGTGGCCGGGGAGAGGGCGGCTGTAGAGGTAATTCGAATGGGTCCGGGGAACCAAAAGACCACGAGTTCCCCGCCCACTGCAAAAGAGACGGACAAATGAAAGAAGTAAATACTGTGTCCTAACAGGTAATCGAAGGAGCTTTGGATGTGGGATGTGTGAACGAGCAAAGTGAAGAGAAAAATCTGTGGCGCTAATTGGACAAGCTTGTTACACGTAATATGCTTTTTTTTGTGCTTGTGTGTTCAATATTTTTTCCCCGTCGGGTGTGTGTTTTTTCCTGGGCGCGCAGTCTAACTAGCTGGTTTTGTTTGCGAAACTTTGTTACCTTTGGAGGCGCGTTTTTTTTTGTGGGTGCCGTGGGACACCGGGTGCGGTGGCTGCTGCTGCTGCTGCAGTTATTGTGTTGTATGGTGTTTGTGGGGCTCATCCAATGTGTTTATTGGTTTCTCTTTTTTTTTCTTTGCGTAAGTGGTCTCTTGAGTGGGTTCTTGCATTCTTCGATTTATTAGGAAAAATACATATTGAATTTGAGAAGGAGACCTCGTTGTAGCTGAGGTGTGGTTCTCACTTCGATTTCCCTGGTGGTGTTGCGTGTGGCGTCATGTTTGCCCGGTCTGTGCTGCGGTTGCAAAAGGCTCCGCGGATTGCGCGCGGTGTAGATTTTTTGCGCAACCGTTTCACGAACAAAGCCTCTGCCTTCAGCAGAGAAGAGCGTGAGCACCTTGGTGTTGTGGGGCTGCTGCCGCCCGCGGTGGAGTCTATTGACGACCAGGTGGAGCGGGTCTGGAAGCAGTTTAAGCGGCTCAACTCCCCCATCAACCGCTATCAGCTGCTGCGCGGAATCATGGACACAAACGTGACGCTGTTCTACAAATTCGTGCAGGCGCACACGAAGGACTCGTTGCCCGTCATTTATACTCCGACAGTCGGTGAGGCCTGCGAGCGGTATGGCGCCATTTTTCAGCGGGACCACGGTCTGTACGTGAGTATGCGGGATAAGGGGAATATTAAGCAGAGCTTGAAAAACCTGCGCAAACCTAACATTGACGTCATTGTCATCACGGATGGCTCCCGCATTCTCGGTCTTGGCGACCTCGGCGCGAACGGCATGGGCATCAGCATCGGCAAGTGCTCCCTGTACGTTGCTGCAGGTGGCATCAAACCAAGTCGTGTCTTGCCCGTTATGCTGGACGCGGGCACGGATAATGAGAAACTTCGCAATCATCCACTCTATCTGGGGGAACGCAGTCCGCGATTCGCAGACGAGGAGTTCTACGCGGTGCTGGACGAGTTCATGGAGGCGGCGAGCGCGGAGTGGCCGAACGCCGTCATTCAGTTCGAGGACTTCAGCAACAACCACTGCTTCGACATACTGCAGCGCTACCAGAAGAAGTACCGCTGCTTCAACGACGACATTCAGGGCACGGGCGCGGTGATTGCCGCCGGCTTCCTCAACGCTATGGAGGTGAGCGGCGTTCCTGTGAAGAATCAGCGCATCGTATTTTTGGGTGCCGGGTCTGCTGCCGTGGGCGTGGCGGAAACTATTGTACAGCTTGCGGCCACACAGTTTTCCGTTCCTGTTGAGAAGATGCGAGAAGCAGTGTACTTGGTGGATTCGAAGGGTCTGGTGACGACGACCCGTGGCGATGCATTGGCGCCACACAAGCTGTTGTGGGCTCGTAAGGATATTGCCCCTGAACTTAACGAATCACTCTCTACGCTGGTAGGCGTGGCGAGTCACGTTAAGCCGACGGCGTTGATTGGGCTGGCCGCGGCCAGTGGTGCCTTTACGGAGGAGATCGTCAGGATGATGGCTTCGTACTGTGCGCGTCCCATATTGTTTCCGTTGTCAAATCCCTCGTCGAAAGCGGAAGTCATTCCGGACGATGCCTACAAGTGGACAGACGGTGCCGCGGTTGTGGCTTCTGGCAGTCCGTTTCCATCCAGTCTCGTGAACGGTAAGGTGCTGAGTCCCTCGCAGGGTAACAACCTTTACATTTTCCCTGGTGTCGGGCTTGGGTGCGCCATCGCACAGCCACCACACATTCCGCAAGAACTGTTCGTCGCGGCCGCGCAGGCACTCAGCCGCTTGGTGCCTCCAGAGGTTATGCAGGTGGAGGGCAAATTGTACCCGCCAATCGATGACGTCCGTAACGCGTCTAAGCACGTGGCGGTGGCAGTGATTGAGGACCTGCAGCGCAAGGGCTTGGCAAAGGAGGATCTTCCGAAGAACACAGCAGAACTCATGAAAGTTGTGGAGGAGTTTATGTGGGAGCCACGTTACTTGGAGCCTGAGTACTACTTGTCTAAGCGTTTCGACTAGGATCCCTGGCTTGCGCGTGAAAATTAAGAAAAAAAATAAAGGAGTGGGAGAGATGGAGATGGAGGTAAAAAATAATGGACAATTCAAAAGACTAAAGAAAAGAAAAAAAAAATTTCTCTTGTGCGTATGTGTGTTTTTTTTTTGTGGTTGCCTGCCCACGAGACACGCATGCCACGGAGGGTCATGTGTATTTGTGTGTAAATACTGCGTTTTCCTAGATGTCCCTGCTTCACTTGCGTCGCCTTTCTGCCGACTTCTTCTTGGGCTCATCATTCTGTGCATAAGCCTTTGTTTTGGCATCTCTCTCCCTTCATACGGGCGTACATTGGCGGTGCTGGTGGGGTCTTTCTTTTTTCTTTATTTGTGCTTATTACTTTTCCCCCGCCGCGAACGCTCGTCGCACGCTCTCCAATCGCGTTCACGCACTCATGGCGTTGCGCCTGCGTTTGCTTTGGCTCTGTTTGTCTCTGTCGCCCTCTCTGCGAGTGGTGCGTGCCCTCCTCCCCCCTACCCGCGATTGTGAGGGGAGGCGGGCGCCGCTGGGCAGGCCGCAGTTGTGCACCGGCGCGTGTGTTGCGCGAGGTGGGGCGGCGGGAAGGACGCGGCCGTTGTGTGTGTGTGGGTGTTTTTTTTTTTGCCTCGGTCTGGCGGCGGCGGTGGCGGTGAATCGAGGGACAACTCCGCGGGAGTAAGCATTAAAGGGTGGGAGAAAAGGGTTGTAGGGAAATACACATGTTCAAAATATAGCGCAATAAAAGTTGTGGGTGGCCGCAGGCGATGTGCAAGCCTGGTGTTTTGCGTGTGCGTTCTTTTTATATTTGGGCTGAAGCCCCTGTGAGGTTGTGGGTGGGCATGCACGCGCCCCTGCCCGTACTCCGCGTGCGTCGCGTGTGCCCTCGCTAGAGCTTCTTGCTGTGTCGTTTCCTTTCGCTGCCGCGCCCCACCTGTCGCGCGTCCCTTTTCTCCCTCTTTGCGTGTTGCCGGTGGGTTGTGTGAAGCAAGGACTGATGACGGGCACCGCAGGTGCGGGGCAAGACGAGGACGACGACTGCCAGTTCGAGTACTTGGCGCCGTCGAAGGCCCAGGCAAAAAAGGGTGCGGGCGGCGACGCCCGGCGGTCGGGCAAGACGGTGTACGAGGAGGAGCGGGATGCGCGCGTGAGGGCCATTGTGCGTCAGCAGGGTCTGACGCTGCCGCCCCCGTCGGGGCAGGCGCGGGAGGCCTCGCCGCGGGCCACGGAGGCGGACGTGGAGGATGAGGACGCCGCCGCGCAACGACGGGACACGGAGGGGCGGCAGGGCAGCAAGCCGGCGCTTAACCCCACGGAGGAGGCGCAGCGGCTTAAGAATCAGCGCTACGCCATTTACCGTCGCAACCGGTACTTGAATCAGAACGCCCTGAAGGAGGTCGACCCTGGCACGAAGCGCTACATGCAGATTGTGTACACCCCCAGCAACCCGGCGGCGAGGCAGTATCCTACGATGCGACGCGGCGGCCACACCGGACCTTCGACAGGCGGAAGACAGTTTACGCCGCGAGGTCAATCCGGGTTTAAGAGGCCGCGGGACTGACGGTGCACGCGCGCATCCTCCAGTGGAAGGCGTACATTAGATACACCGCATGTATCTAAAAAAATGTGTCCACAGTATGTGCGCCTGTGCACTTGCTTGTCCTTCAACGAGTAGGAGACAATGTGACACTTGGGTTTGATCACCAAGTGGCTGTTTCCTATCTTTCTTTCTTTCTCTCTGTGTTTGGCTTTTTTGTTTCTCTCATCTTGAGCTTGGAGAAGCTTATCTTTTGTAATTGTTTTTTTTTTCCTTTTTTTTTTTCCGCTCTCCTTCTTGCCTTTGGCTGCACGCATTCCATGCTGCTGTTCTCTATCCCCTTGCTTCTTGTGCCGGCATGCATTTGGCCGCAAGGGAGTGGTGGTGGAAGGAGGAAAGGGAAGACGCTCATGTCGTTCTTCTTCGACGGAGACGCGGGGGAGGAGCCTGCGCGGAAGCGGTGCCGCACCGAGCAGCAGCAGCAGCAGAAGCGGCAGGAGCAAAGGCACGCTTCCGACGGCCTTGTAGCCGGCAATGGGAGGGTGACGAGGAGGAGGAGGAAGAGCAGCCGGTATTGGCGAGAGAGCGCGCTGCTCGGGTGGGACTGAAGCTCCTGCAAGGCATGCAGAAGCCCCTCTCGTCCTCGTCCTCGTCTGTACTCCCTGCCGGGGACGAAAAAATGCGTGTGGTGCAGGCATACGTGCCCCTCTCCGTCGGCGGCTTCATGGAAGGTTCTGCGGAGACGGCGGTGAACGACATTAGCCAAGTGCGGCCCGGCAACGTCATGTGCCTCCGCTGCCCCACCTCCCCCGCCCCGCGGGCGGGTCCCGGCATTAATTTTGTGAAGGAGGCGGACCTCACCGAGGAGGAACGGCGCTACGGCAAGCGACTCTCCGCGGAAATGACGCAGGAACTCTTCGAAGTGGGCCGCGTGGACCGCGACGCGGGCCTGCTGGAGGCCATCTTTCTTGACGGAACGCGGCAGAAGTTGAAGGTGTACGCCGTGCGGCCCGCCGGATTTCTGGAGACTGAGCTGTTTCGAAGGTGGAAGCGTGATCCGAGCTCCAGGCCGGTGCGCACCGTGTACGCGGCTTCTGATAGCCTCGCCGCCTCCCAGCCTCTGCCGTCAGCGACAGCGTCCGCCGCCAACAGGACCAGCAACGACAACGAGAGCGCCGCGGTGGGCGTGGCTCGGACGCCGTGGTGGGTGACCCCGCAGCTCATTGTACGCGTCGTCGAGAAGTCGGCGGGGGAGCTGTTTGGGGAAAAGTTTGTGGTGAAATCGCTCACGCGCAGGGAGGGGAAGATACGGCTCGTGCCGTGGCAGCGGTCCGCGGGCAGTGGCGAGCCGGCAGCGCGGTCGTTGCTTGACGTTGTGGGCTGCGAAGCGCTGGAGACGGTGGTGCCCAAAGTGGGCGAGCAGGGCATGATTGTGCTTGGGGGCATGCGTGGGGAGTTGGTGACCGTCGTGGAGCGGCACCGTGACGCCGACGGTGAGCTTGCGTCGCTGAAGGTTTGTTCCACGCTAACGCAGAGGGAGTTTGTGGTTGGTCCGCATGAAGTCTGTCTGTTGGCGCGTCCGCAGCGCTAGGTGGTTTTCGAAAAGAATGCGTTGAGTCCCCTTCGAGTATGACGTCAATCTATTTTCCACCCCCTTTTGATACCCGACAGCCTCTCTTCCTCCTGTTGGTGTTGTTCCTTTTTGTTTGTTTGTTTGTTTGCACGTCCCTTCCTGTGCGTCCTCTCGCCCCTTCTTCAGCTGCCTTTCGTGGCTCGCATTCGCTCACCTCTCCAACTTCTCTTTTTCCTGCCTCTTGCACGTCCCACGCACTCGCGCTGCAAGCCTCTGGCGGTGTGGCTTGCACCCTTCCCTGTAGACGCCATGTGGGAGGCGGAGGCGCAGTCCGGCACGCACCGCGTGGATCCCGTCGCGTACTTCCAGACGCGCCAGGGACGCCGCACCGCCGGCTACGCGCGGCGCCCATCGCAGGTCGTGATGGGCGCGGCGGAGGCCAGCGGGGCGTCGCCTCGTCGGCGGGGCCGGGAACGAGGACCCGGCAAAGACTTTGCACGATTTATCGAGATGTTCGGCTTCCCCGAGCGGCGGCCGCAGCCCTCGTCGCAAAAGCGTCTCTTCTCGGCCTCCGCGCAGCCAAGCAGCGCCAACCTCTTTCAGCCCCCCGGCGAGCCGGATCTACGGCGCCTGCTGCGCGGTGGAGCGGCAGAGACGAGGGAAGAGGCGGAGTCACTTGTCAACGGGACGCGTGCGTCGCTGCCGCACCGCGACGTGGAAAGTGTGGCGTCGCAGGGTGCATGCAGCGTGGGCGCCGAGCTGTACGACAACGACGAGGAGGTGGTCGCCGAACTTGAGGAACGCATTCAGCTGCTGGAGCAGGCGTTGGAGTATGAGCGGTGGCGGCTGCAGTCACTGCGTGCCGGAAGAAATCTTCAGATTCCCGAAGCGGCCCCTGCGGACGCCCTGACGCGGCTTCATACGGGCGCTGCAGATGCGTCCGCAGGCGTACCCGGTGCGACACCGTGCAACGCTGCGGCCAGCGCCATGCGAAGCGAGTGCCCAGTACGGTTGTGCTGCGAGCCACGGCAGCTGCGGCCGGGCGGTGAGGGCGCCTCTTGTTTGGCGTCCCACCCCGCACAAGCGGCTTGGAGCGCTGATGATAATGATAGCGTTTCACCACGAACGACGGTCGTCGTTCGACCAGTGCCCTCTCATGACAAGCTCGCTATCGCCAGACCAGCTGCCCAAGGGCAACCACACGCAGGTCGGCCAGAGTCACGAGCATCAACAAGAGCAGCAACCACAGCTGTTGCAATGCGGGGCCGCAGCAATTGGACGCTGGCAGCTCACTACGCCGGATGGACGTAGCAGTCCTTATTCGACTGCTGCTCTCTTGATGGCTCCTTGCCTGTAACGTTTGTATTATTTGCCTTTACTAGATCTGTCGCCAGTAGATTCAAAGAAGTACGTGGCCTCTCCTTTGTAGCCACTGAGTATTATTGTTATTATTTAATATATTTCCTTCCTTTTCTGTGTTTGTGTGCCTGTGTGTGTGTGTTTTTTTTTTTGGGGGGGGGGATTCCTGCCATGTGCCCATATGCTGCTTCTCGCTGTCTGTCGTCTCGGTGTGCGGGGGAGTCATTACTGTTGTTGTTGTTGTTGCTGCGGCTTTCACTTTCTCCTCTTCGCCGCCGCAGGTGAAAACGATTGTGGGCGGAGCAATGCCGCGCCGTGTGAGTGCAGGCACGGCGGCGTCCGGCCTCATGCAACGGCCGCCTCGTGAGGCCGGACGCGGCCGACAAATGCAGCCACCGCCAGAGAAACTGCAGGAGCGCCAAGTAGGAGGCTTGCCGCCACCGCGCTTTGACGCTTACGTTGTTTTGGACTTTGAGGCGACGTGTGAGCGGGGCCGACGCCTCCTGGAGCCGGAGATCATTGAGTTCCCCATGGTCTTGATTGACGCCCACAGCCATCGCGTCCAGGCAGAGTTTCAGCGCCACGTGAGGCCTCTGGTCAACTCGGCCTTGTCGGAGTTTTGCACCGAACTCACCGGCATCACTCAGTCGGTGGTCGACAGGGCAGAGACGTTCCCGTGCGTGTGGGACGCCGCGCTTGAATTCCTGCGCGGTGGCGGGTGCGGTGAGGCGCCGCCGCTGCGCAGTTACCTCTTCGTGACGTGCGGCGACTGGGACCTGAAGACGATGCTGCCGAGCCAGTTGCTGACGGCGGCAAAGACGGGCGCCGCACTTGTGGCCCCGCCCTCCTTTCGGCGGTGGTGCAACCTGAAGGAGTTCATGCGTGGCACCGGCCTCACGACGGCGCGCGGTATACGGGACATGCCAGACATGTTGGCTGCAGTAGGCCTTCCGCTACTCGGCCGACACCACAGCGGGATCGACGATTGCAGGAACATTGCGTCTGTTCTGCGGGAACTTCTGGGGCGGGGGTACGTCATTGCAGCGACCACCGACCGCAGTGGGCTCCCGCGGTGGGTGAGTTCTCTGCCGGACGCACGCGGACCGGCCGATTCCTGTCTGCATGAAGAAGTAGTTCCTCCAACTTCGGTGTGTGGAGGAGTGTGTGCCACAAACTTGCACGCTGGCCAGAAGCGTGGTCTCCGCACGACGCAGGAGGCGGTGGACGCGGCCGGGCGGCCTAATGTAAGTATCCTTTCCGAAGAGGACCCGTTGCCGTCGCTGCTGAAAGGCAACGTCGTGTTGGACAAGGCGAAGAAGGTCGCGTACTCGAAGGCGCTCACGCGGAATTCTCCGTCACGCGGCCGACAGTATGCACATCCCGGTCTCAAGCGGGGGGTACGTGCGCGTGGAGGACATACTCCGCTGCAAGCCTTTCTGCAGCGACCCCGCGGCCTTGCCGCACATAGCCCTGGTGGTGCACACGAACGATAAACAACGCTTTAAGCTGGCGTATGATGTTAATCACCAGCTGTACATTCGCGCCAATCAGGGGCACAGCCTCGGTGGGATAGACCCGGAGCTGCGACGCATTACGTGTGCCGCGGAGGCCCCGGTGGCTGTTCACGGCACATACTACTCCACGTGGGATGCGATTTCCGCGTGCGGGTATCTGTCGACAATGACACGACGGCATATTCACTTTGCAAAGGGCTTGATAAGTGACCCTGGCGTGGTCAGCGGGATGCGTCACGACGTGGAGGTGCTTCTCTACCTGGATGTGGAGAAACTACTGCTAGACGGCGTTGAGCTGTGGGAAAGTGCGAACGGTGTGCTCCTAACACCAGGCGTGGGAGGCACGAAGCAACTGCCACTCGCGTACATTGCGAAGGTGCTGGATCGTAGGACGGGACAGCCGCTTACACGTTGACTGGGGCCGCAAGCGTCCCTGTCCGCGCCCCCGTTGGACGGGGGGTCGCGTTGGAAGCGGGGACTGAGAGACACCAGTTGTTGTTTTTTTGTGCGTGTATGTGTGTGTGCGCGTTGTCGTCTTCTGCGGCGCAGGTGTGGGCGAGCGGGGAAGCTGCCAGTTTCTACGGGTGAATCTTGTGATGGTGCATGCTCGGTTTCTTTCGGTCTTTTTTTTTTGCCTTTTGGGTGTCATTATCCCGTCACAGCTGCACTGGTGCGGTTCGTACGAGTGGGGGGCCGAGAGTTCACCCACACAGAGCCAGACTTGGCCCTCGCTTGCGCCCTCCTTTCGCCCGCACGGCGGCGGATGGAAGGGAATGACGGCCCCGCGCAGGCGCCTTCTGGCGGCACTTGTCGTGGCAGTGGCAGTGATGACTGGCGTGAGTGCGGCGCCACGCTTCCGCCGCCGCGTCTCCCTCTGCTTGACAGTATTTCCCTCTACGAGACCCCGTCGCGCTGTTACGTCGTCGGCGCCGACGCGGCCCAGAAGGAATACCGTGTGCTGCGCTTCACAAAGTCGAACAGTGATGCCTTACAATACAGCGACATGGGCGCACACGCGCCTGCCGAGGCTCAGGCGCTTGTGAAGCATGTGAGCAAGGAGGCAAAGACACCGGCGCTGCGGGGCAAGGCCTTGCTGGGCTGCATCCGCTTCACCAAGGGCTATTACCTTCTTCTGGTGACGCGGCGCCGCTGTGTGGCGCGGCTGGGGTACCACCGCATTTTTGAGGTCGCTGACGTGGAGCTGGTGTCGCTCTGCATCGCGGAGCCGGCGACGACGGTGCTGCTGGCGGCGGCGGGCGCCTCATCCTTTCTGCACCCTCGCCCCGCGGAGGATTATTATCGCAGTCAGCTGTTGTCCACCTCACTCAAGCAGCACTTCTACTACTCCCATACCTACGACCTCACAAATACGCTGCAAACGAACATGACGCACCCGTGCGGCGAGCACCGGGTGCGTTGCAAATTTGTCTGGAATGAGTTTCTCTTGGAGCCGTTCTTTCTTCCCGCCACCTCGCCGCAGGCGCCGTCGCGCTCCGCGGGGGAGGAGGGGGAGGCACGGCGGCTCGCAGCGGGTGTGGAGCAATGGTTCGTCTACCTGACGCACGGCTCTATTGTCCAGTGTCCCGTTGGGTGCGGCCTAACGCCGCTTCTTCTGACGCTCATTGGCCGCGTCAGCAAAAACTTTGCGGGGGTGCGCTACTTGCGCCGTGGGGTCGATGGCGATGGCCACGCCGCAAACCACGTGGAGGTGGAGCAGATCGTCGTGGATGAGTCGCAGTTGCATGCACACTTCAGCAAGGGCAGTTTCACGTCGTACGTGCAGGTGCGGGGTTCGGTTCCGCTGCACTGGTTCCATCCCCCCACGCAGCTGCCCAAGCCGCCCATCAGGCTGGGAGTCAGGGATGTGTACTACACCAACACGCGGAAACACTTCCAAGAGCTACTGGAGGATTATGGGGCACCGCTAATCGTAATGAACCTGCTCCGGCAACGCGAAAAGCGGCCCCGTGAGAGTATCTTGGGATGGGAATTTCGAAGGGCAGTCATGACACTGAAGGGCTTTGTAGGCGCTGACGCAGAAGCGGAGGGAGGGGAGGAGGTCCTCTCGTACCTTGAATTTGACATCCGTGAGTCGGCGCATGCCGCGTGGAATCACGTCACTGTCTTTGCAGAAGGGGCACTGGAGAAGACGGGTTTCTTCGTTTCTAATCGCACGGGGACACGCGTACGGCGTCAAGAAGGCGTCATACGTAGCAACTGCGTGGACTGCGTTGACCGAACAAATCTTGCACAGTTCTTCTTTGGGCTGCATGCGTTGGGGCATCAACTGCATTCCCTGGGCCTCCTCCACTCCCCGGTGGACCTTGCGGCGTCACCGGGGGTGCAGGACCTGCTGCTTCGCATGTATCTCCTGCTGGGGGACGCCATCGCGGTTCAGTACGGAGGCTCCCCGCAGGTTGGCGCCGGCGTGCTGAACCGAGGCACCGGCTGGGATCAGCTCATGGGCATTAAACGCCTCTACAACAACATGGTTGGCGACCGTGAGAAGCAGTCCGCGCTGAACTTGTTTTTGGGGAGGCACCAGCTGTACCGCAAGGCACAGTCCAGTGCACTCAACCCCGTGCCACCTGTTCCCGGCGCGGAAGCGGTCGGTGGAGAAGAGCAAGACGAGGGAGAAGAAAAGGCGGCGGCGGTAAAGGCGGGTGATGGGGCGAGCAGCACAAGGACGTTGGGGCCCCCCGCAGAGGGGAGGGGGCTGCGACGCATGAGTTTTGACCGGCGAGCCGGCCGCGTGGTGGAACCCACCGAGCTTGAACCGGATTGTTCCCTGCATTTCAAGCGCGCCCCGCCGCTTGCCAGGACCAACGAAGTGCGTGGCTGGTGGAAGGAGCCTCTGCAGCGCCACCGGCGGTTCCTGGACGCCGGCAACGTGCCGCTACGACGCACCGGGCTTTCAACGATGGGAGACATGCCACACGAGGCGGAAAAGGAGCGTGAGAGGCTCTTGTCCCGCCTTTGCCTCTGCGAGCGTGCCGCCGCCGTGAAGCCAGACGATGACGACGACACAGAGGAGGTAGGTAAGGGGACGGTGTTGCAGGAGGGAGAGACTGTCGTTCTTGCGCCGACGACGGCACTGAACACTTTGGTGCGCCGCACTGTGCTGCCCCCGTGTCGCCCGCTCTCTACGCAGAGGCTGGAGTTTATGCGTTCTCTCATGCTTCAGCGGGAGCTGGAATTAGAGCAGCTGTGGGACACGACGCCCGAGCCCGCCGTGGAGCTGCTGCACAATCACCGTGAGTTTCCGGATGAGGTGCGGGCGAGCATCTTTTATCAGGCGATTGACGCCGTGCGGCGCATGAGTGACGCGTGTGAGCCCCCAGCTGATCTTCGCCGCATGCGTCTCGCGGCGCTTTCCGTGTACGGTGACCCCGTGGACTGGAACGTGGAGACCGTTGTGGAGGCGCTGCTGGAGGTGGAGCCGCAGGTGCGGGCGGGGACGCTGAATTACCTGCGGCGCATGAACGTGGACGGGTACACCCTGCTGTACCTGCTCAACACCGACGCCATGGGTCAGCGGGAACTGCTAGATCGCTTCATAGGCCTCGTAAAGGAGCTGCCGCGGGCGAGTTTGGAGTCCGCGCTTCGTTGCTGTGCCGAGTTGGATTATGAGAAACTGGAGTGGACGCAGCTGGAGGAAGAAGTTCATAGCAACAGCACCCGTGGGAGTGGTGATGCGATTGCCTCGCCCGATTCCACGTGCCGCCTGCTTCAGCCATTCTTTCAGGAGGCGGTGTGTCCTGCCACGATGGGGACGGTGGTGCGAAGGCTGCTGCAAAATATGTCGGACGCGACCTCTGGCGTCCCGCGCAGTGATCGTTTGCGCTACCGTGAGAAATTTGATCAGCGCGTCCCATCCGCCGTCGTTGCGACGCAGGGATTCAGTGCAGCGGAGCTGCATGCATGGCTGCTACGCAACTCCGCCCGCCTGGGTCTCACCCTGCACAACCATGTCGAGCAGCATGATGCATCGCAGGCGTGTTGGAAGTTTATGCTCTGGCTCGCCCAGGCCAACCTCGTGGTCCAGCTTATCGTTGACCCAAGCCCTGGTGTTCTCGTCCGCCCCGTCATCAAGTTGGGCGACTTTGCAATGCGTACTTGGTTGTTTACGCTGCGTCCGCTTCAGGAGATGCACGTGCTCAACAGGGATGGCGTGTTTAGGGGTGACTTGGAGCCAGCCGTTGGGTCCATGCCGTCTTTCTCGGCTCCTGCTGCCCTGTTTGCGCCTTCCTCGTCTGGGTGCCCCGCCGTCGCGTGCGCCGAGTCCCTGGTGCGTGTGGCATTGCTTGCTCTCTCTTCGGTGCAGGAGATGACGCTGACAGGCGCGGGAGACGCCGCTCAGAACGCCGCGTTTCGTGCGCTACTCAATAGTCTTTTCGTGCACAGCGCACGACTGGTTGATGTTGACCTTGCGCTGCTTCGACCACGCGAGCGGTGGTGTTTTTGGGTGAACGTCTTCAACGCCTTGTACATCCATGCCTGGCTGGCCGCATTCGTTGTGCAGGCGCAGGACTACCCAAGCTTCCACAACACCAACGGTTACGAGATTGCTGGCTATTTCTTTTCGTTGAGCGACATCAAGCATGGACTTCTGCGCGGAAACAGGCCGGCGGCCTTTGCACTGCTCCCGCCCTTTGAACCGGGAGACCCACGGGTGTTGTTTGCCCCCACGGAACCCGAGGAGACGGCGGACGGCTGCGGCAAGGAGGCGGCCAAGCCGACGGCAGCCACAGCAGCCCTGCATCGCATGCGTGGGCGCATTCTGCTCGCGCTCATGGACACGTTTCTGGTGCCGAATAAGTTGGAGAACGCGCCGGTGTACAATCCACGCACCCTGCTCGAGGAGGAGGAGCCAGCAGGCCTGGACATTGCCCTCAGTGGGGCTGGGGCGCCGCCGCCGCCGCCGCTGGGCGCGGCGGACATCAACGACAGTGACGACGACGTGGTTCCTCTTGGCGGAGGCGGTGATGGGGCATTTGTTGCACAAGAACTGAGCCCTACACCCCGCGGTGTTCTACGACGGGCGAGCGGCGGACCCGCTGGGGCGGCCACATGGTGGTTTACCTCGTGGCTTGGGAATCGTTTGTCGGGCAAGAGTGCAGTTTTTGCGCATCCGTGCGTTCCCCTCCTTTCTGCCTTGTTGCCCGGACAAATTTACGCCATTGAGGGCTACGTGCTCCGCTCGCTCTCCCCGGCCTCCTCGCAGGCCACCGTGATGCGAGACGGTGTCGCCTGCCCCCGCGCACTGCTTCCGCTGCTTTTCTTCCCCGAGGAGTTTGGCACCAACGCCGATGAGGCGATTCGCTCCCTCCACCAGATGCACACGGCCGCTGCTGGGTGGAAGCTGCTCTCCCCCGTCTCCCCCCTCTCGCCAGACGCGTCGTCCGTCGCGCCGGAGGGACGCTGACGCGGCGCAAAACAGCGGTGGCGCCACGCCTCTGGCGAAGCCGCGGACGACGACGTCACATGTGTGCCTCTTCCTTTTTTTTTCTCCCCCTTGCGGACTGTCTCCGCCACGAAACAAATGACGTCTCTCCCCTCAGCCGCGGCCGCCGTGGCTCTCATAGCTCAGTCGGTTAGAGCGTGGGTCTAATAAGCCCAAGGTCACAGGTTCGACCCCTGTTGGGAGCACTTTTCCCCCCATACTGCTGCGTTCCCCCCCTGCTCAACTTGCGTGTCTTTGTTTATTTATTGCTTTCTTACCGTTTTTTTTTTGTTCGTTTGTTTTTTCCTTTTTGCGGACGCCCTTACGCTCGTGACCATCGCTATAGTTTGAGTGCGTTTCGGGGGGGGAAAACGGGGAGGGGGGAGGGGGAATTGCATTGAGGATAGAAGAAGATGTTGCACCGAACGCATGTTGGGCAGCACCGTAGTGGGAAGGCACGTGCCTTTGTCTTCCGCGATCCGACGCTAAAGATGATGCGGGCGGGCAGCGGGTATCAGCAGCTGCGGCGGATGGGCATGCCGATCCAGGTGGGAACGGGGTGGCGCAAGGTGGACCACTTTTACGCAAACAATCAGTATCAACACGCCTGGCCGCTGTTGTCGCACGATGACTTAGGAAACAGCGATCAGTCCAATAACACAAAGAACGTCATGTACTCGATGTACATGCCGAAGCGTAATAAAGGCACAGCACCGTGGTTTCGTGGCGCCGACACGTACAGCGTCAAATACTGTGAACAGGGTCGTTACGAGTACCAGCGATATCTTATGATCAATCGCTTTCCAAGCGAGTACAAGAAACATTTTCTCAACTTCCTTACCAACATCCGCTCGAGCTCAGGCTCAGCAAGCCTCCCGCAAGAGGCACTTCACTGGCTGCTTCGCATGATTGTGGACAACTTTAATCCCCAACACGTCCACTACATTGCCGCGATGAAGACGCTTCAAGATGCCGGGGAGTTGGATATGGCAAGGGATGTGTGGAAGATTATGGAGCGGCAACAAACATGGCCGTGCACCTCCACCATATGCGCCTACCTTGACGTCTGCGTACAGGCCGGAGAAAAAACGTGGGCCATGGAGGCGTGGAACCGATACTGTACCGAGTTAAACTTTCTGCAACCCGGCGAAGTAGACCCGAAGCCCGTGTCGCGTGTGCCGTTTTCACTGACACGTGAAGAACTGTTGTACCTTCCAAAGTGGAAGAAGCACTTCGACCACGATCCTAACCTCGATGTGGTGGACCTCAACCGCTTCAACCGCACACGCGAGGTATACCTACGCATGGCGCAAGTCATGTTGGCAGGGGGAGAACGTGACGCCTTTCAGCACTTCTACACAAAGTTAGAGCAGGCCATGTTGTCGACGCCGACGCCGGTGCCCGAGCCACCAAATCCACACCTTGTCCGACGCCCGCAGTGGTCTCCCTACGAGCACTGCAAATCCATCCACCATTCCCCGTGGCGGGTGGAGAATAACGGGCGTGCCATGGCGCTTGGTCCCACTGTGACAACCGAAGACGAGATGCAGAGTCGCTTCTTTTCCAATGAGCAGTTTTTGGTGCACACGACGAAGGAAGTCCTTCGTGTTGTACTGCAAGAACACCGACGCCGTCACGCTGAGGCGTGTGCCCGTGGTGAGAGTGAGGCCTTCTTTGAAAAGGTGGCCGATGCTGGGGAGACACTGCGGTTCTGTGGGGAATTGGTTGAACGCCTTTTTGCGGTGTTGGGGCAAAAAATACATGGCCTGAACACCTCCGCAATTCTCTCGATGCTGCTTGAGGTGCACCGCGTGGTTGGGAAGGAGACCGGGAGGGAGCTGCTTCGCCGCGCCAACCAGTTTGTGGAACGCAAGGCCGCCCTAGACGACGGCGCAAAGGAGTCTCTCACAGCTCCAAACTATTTGCAGGTGTTGATGGGATTTGCCGATGAGAGCGCCTACGTGTACGACAGCAAGAGAAGAGGCCAGTGCCGCTACCGGAGCGGGTTTGATCCTCGCACGACAATGCAGCAACTGGCGGCGGTGGTGCAGGAAATTGCGGGAAATCCACACATCACGTGGGCTGCGGATATGCACCTGCAGGTGGTGTCCACGATGGTGGGGTGTGGAACTATGAAGGCCAATGATTACTTTGTGCAGAACGTGCTCCGGCAATTTCGTTGGGACAGCAGATTCCTCGAGGCCCTCTACATGGAATACCGTCGGCACGACGACGTTGACGTGTGGGCGGAGCTGACGAAGCGCGCGCTGGTGTGGACTGCCCGGTACAACGTGCAGGCGTCGGAGCGCCTGAAACGCCTCATCGAGGACGACTACGACGTCATTCAGGTGCAGACCCGCACCTTCCGCGAGCTCGCGGTCTTCCAGTTCCGTGACATGGAGGAGAAGCGCCACAGTCGCGACGCGGTCAACGAGCTTCCGAATCCGTGGACGGACTACGTCTCCCACGCCTTGCCGTTCCCTGACCGCGACGCGGGCTACCCCGACGAGTACGGCGACCTTGGCCAGTGGCGTGCGCCCGGCGGCCCAGGCTCTCCCGTGAAGGGGCCCGGCTATTACGCGCCCCCAATGGAGGGGGAGCACCAGCGCGGCTACACTGCGGAGTGGCGTGATTTGAAAAATCCGATGCGCCCGCCCGAGTTTCCGACACCGTGGGAGCGGAAGTACAAGCAATACGCCCGTGGGCAGCACCCCTCCTACGACATGGTGTACGCGGGCCCGATGCCGGAGATCTTCCCCACCCGGCATGACTTCCGCAAACCGACAAGGTGGGACTACCACGACATTGAGAAGCAGGGGAAGTACAAGACCAGCGGTCCGTACTAGCGCGACTGGATTCTACTCACATGCCTTTTTTCTTGTTGTTATTGTTGTTTTGTTTATTTTTGTCTATCTTCCTTTTTTTTTTGCCGTGTGCATCGCGCATCTTCGTTGCAACCAGAAGAGGAAGAGAAAGTGCGGGGGGAACGTCGGACGACGCCGGCGGGATCGTCGTACTAGCGGTGAGTTGTTAAGGAGAAATCAGGGTGGCGGCAACTCTCTTGCGTTCTCTCGGCGTGTGTGCGTGTATATATAAATATATATATGCGTCTGCGTGTCTCTCTCTCTCTCTCTCTCTCTCTGCTTTCTTCTGCAGTTGACTTTTCACTCTCTGTCTCCACGCGGTGTGGGCGCCCAAGCGGGGGGATACGAAAAAAAAAAAAGGAAAAAAAACACGCAGGCGGGTGGGAAGGGGACAAATTCGTGCTCGCCATGTCCGACACATCGCATGCGACGCTGGTGAAGTATGAGACGCCTGTGCTGCTCTCTGAGGTGAAGCGCCGAAAGGCGATAAAGGAGAAAAAGAAGGAAACACTTGGGCCGCAGCTCGTCCCGCAGCCGGAGGATGTCTTGTACAGCATCATTCCCCCGCGCGAATACGAGGAGGGCGGCGAGCGCTGGGTGCAGTTTGTCTCCAGCACCCCCGCAACGCGATTAGATGTAATTAACCTGCAGGAACGACTGGATGCTCTGCTGCAGGAGCGGCAGGCGCGGGAGACGGGGATTTGCCCGGTGCGCGAGGAACTTTATCGCCAGGTCTTTGAGGAGCTGATTCGCCAGGTAACCGTGAACTGCGCTGAGCGTGGGCTGCTCCTGCTCCGGGTGCGGGACGAGCTTCGCATGACGCTTGACGCCTACCGTTCGCTCTACGAGAGCAGCGCCGCCTACGGGATGCGCAAGGCGCTTCAGGCGGAGCAAAGCAAGATAGAGATGGAGGCGCGCATCCGCGCCCTGGAGCGCGAGAAGGAGGACCTGAAGCAGAAGGTGGATGAACTAGAGGCCCGCTGTGACGCCATACGAGAGCAGGAGGAGGAGCGTCGCGCGGAGGAGGAAAAGAAGCACAACGAGGAAGTTGCCTTCTTCCGCCGCACCTACCAAACACTCACGGCGAACCTGCAGACGGTCTGCAACCCGACAAGGACGTAGAAGTGGGTGTCGTTGCAGGGCGGGAAGAAGAGGCATCAAACGGGGGGCCGTTGCAGCCGGCGTGGAGAGACGCAACGAGGCGCTCCCACCCACCCCGTTCACACCGCACATGGCTTTGCCGCGTGCGGGAAATGTACAGAGGAGGCCACCACGGGACTTTCAGGGCAGCGGCGGAAGAAAGAGGGAAGAGCGGGTCAAACACAAGACGTGGCTGTGTGAGCCCCCGTTAGTGCCGAACGGTGGTTGGAAGAGATTGAGTGAAGTGAAGTGAAAGGAGAAAAAGTCTATGTTTTTTTTTTCTTTTCTCCCCCTCTCTATTTCTCTCGGCCCCTTCCTTTCCCTTTTAATATATTTGTTTTAGTTCGCTTGTTGCCGCGTGTGGTGTCGGTGGCTGTCGTTTTTCTGCTTCCCAGCCTGAAGCCTCGCGGCCACGCTGCGC